AGATAATGTAAAAATCTGACAATAACAGACACTGGCAAGGACGTGGAGGAAGCGGATCTCTCTTGCACTGCAGGTGGGACTGTGAAAGGGAACAGACTGTCTAGAAAATAGATTGGCAATGTCTTTAAAAAAAAACAACTAAACACACTCTTACCGTAATACCTAGCAACTGCATTCCCAGAGAAATGAAAATTACATCCATACATAAACCTGAATATCAATGTTCATGGAAGTTTTATACATAAGAGCTAAAATGAAAACCAAATGTCTTTTAAGAGGTTAAGTAGTTAAACAGTGGTATATCCATACCACAGAATACTACTCAGCAATGAAAAGGAGTGAGTTACTAATATATGCGGTAATTTGAATGGATCTCAAAAACACCATGCTGAATGAAAAGAAAAAAATCTCAGAAAATGACATACTTTATTATTCCAATTATATAATATTCTCAAAATCATGAAATTATAGCCCTAACCGGTTTGGCTCAGTGGATAGAGCATCAGCCTGAGGACTGAAGGGTCTGGGTTCGATTCCAGTCAAGGGCAAGTTCATGGGTTGTGGGCTTAATCCCAGTGTGGGGCGTGCAGGAGGCAGCAGGTCAGTGATTCTCCCTCATCATTGATACTCTCCCTCTCCTTCCCTCCCTCCAATAAAAATATATACATATTTTTTAAACCATGAAATTATAAAGTTAAATAAATGGCTGCCAAAGAATAGATTAATAGTTTCTAGGGTTCGGGGGAGGTGAGGAGACATAGAAGGTGCCTAAGACTAGACATGGATAGCATGATGGGGTGTTAATGGTGTTGGAATAGCTGTGAACCTTGATTGCAGTGGTAGTGGAATTAATCTACAGGTGATAAAATGTCACAGAAGTACAAACACACACACACACACCCCAATGTCAATTTCCTGGTGTTGATAGTATGCAATAGTTATGTAAGATGTAATCATTGAAGAGAAGAACTGGTCTGTATTATTTTTGCAATATGCTGTGACTATTGAATTACCTCAAAATAAAAAATTAAAGTAGTTCCTAATTATCTGAGGATAAGAGAAAGGAAGTCATAGCTTTTTTAAAATATATATATATATATATATATATATATATATATATATATATATTATTGAGTTTTTACAGAGAGGAAGAGAGAGGGATAGAAAGCTAGAAACATCGATGAGAGAGAAACATCGATCAGCTGCCTTCTGCACACACTGGGGATGTGCCTGCAACCAAAGTACATACCCTCGACCGGAATCGAACCCCGAGTCATAGCTTTTTAAATAAAAAAGTCTAGCCACTCTCCTAATTAATCTTAGAGTTGCTTCAAGGATGAAGCAAGATAAAATTTTAAAAAAGACAGTTTTAACAGTGCCTCTAATAGCAGCCAGACACTGTTTAAGTGCTTCCCCATTTAACCCACATAACCACCTTATAAAAGCAATGCCCAGCCTTACTCTGCGGCGGGAAAAGGGGAGCTGATGGCGGTTAAGGAGTCTGCCATGGTCACACATAAGTGGCAGAGCCGAGATTTAAACTGAGATGGACTCAGAGGCGTGCCTCCTGTAGGCCTCCGTGACCAGTATAAAGATGCTCAGCAAAAATAAAAAAGGTTTCAAAGTGCGTGCAAAGCCTGGGTTACTTATTGATTTATGAGAGAGAGGAAGCGGGGGAGAATAGGAGAGAGGAAAGAAAAGAGAGTAGGGAGAGAGAGAAAAGGAGGGAGGAAGGGAGGGGGAGAGAGAGAGGATTTGTTGTTCCACTTATTTATGCATTCACTGGTTGCTCCTTGTATACGTTCCTGACCGAGGACTGAACCTGCAACCTTGGCATACCAGAGGAAGCTCTAACCCACGGAGCTACCCGCTAGGGCAGAGCCTGGATTACACAAGGTTATTTAGGGTTCTAAGAGTGTAGGGTTCTAAGAGTGTAGCTCAGTTGATTGTCATCCTGTGCACCCAAAGGTTGCCAGTTCTATTCCTGGTCCGGGCAATGCCCAAGCTTCGGGTTCCATCCTAGGTTGGGGCACATGTGGGAGGCAACGAATCAATGTTTCTCCTTATTTTCATATGTATATATGAAAATATACACATATAAAATGCCAGTGCATGTCATGTATCCAGAAAGCTATATTTGTTTTTTCCACAATGTATTTAGCCAGGAAGCTTTTCCCCACCATAACAACATTCTCATTCAAACTCTAGTTAAAATATTTAAACTAGACTTATTCTGATCATTTCACAATATATACAAATATCAAATATTATGTGTTCCCCTGAAACTACTATAATGTTTTATCTCTATTTTTTTAATCTTTGCCGGGGATTTTTTAAAATTGATTTTAGAGAGGGAGGAGAGGAGGTGAAAGTAAGGGGAGGAAAAGAGAGAGAGAGAGAGAGAAAGAGAGAGTGTGAGTGTGAGAGAGTCAGTCATCGGTTTAAGCGACATGGATAGGCTGCCTCCCATAACTCACTCCCAAGTGCAACCTACATATGTGCTCTGACAGGGAAGGGAACCCGCCACCGTTTGTATACAGGATAATACTCCAACTGACAGCCACCCGACCAGGCAATTACATCTCAGATTTTAAAAAGTTTAAATGTCTTATGTATTGGCTTATGTATTGGCAACTGCTTCAAGCTACACTCTGCAAAAGGAACTACTTAATTATAAATTAACTAGAATTAAACAAAATGTAAAGTTCAGTTCCTCAGTCACACTAGCCACATTACAAGTCTTTTAGACTTGCCTCAGCCTGGCCAGTGTGGCTCAGTGGTTGAGAGTTGACCTATGAACCAGGAGGTCAAGGTTTGATTCCCACAGGTTGGGCTCCATCCCCAATAGGGGGCTGCAGGAGGCAGCTGATCAATGACTCGCATCATTGATGTTTTTATCTCTCCCCCCCCCCCTTTCCTCTCTGAAATCAATAAAAAGGCATTAAAAAAAAAAAAAAAAAAAAAAAGACGTGCTTCAAGGGCCACAGATGACTGATGGCTGCCATGTTAGCAGATACAGACTGTTGCCATCAGCGGAGGAAGTTGTTGGCTGGACAGCACTGGGTGAAAGGTTTGCTTTTGTTTTTTAGAAAACAGGAGGCCTGAGCAATCTCCAGAGCAGCAGCTGTGAATTATTTACATGTGATTACACTGGCCCCCATCAAAGGGCGCCCTGGAGAATTCTCACGGACTGGCTGCTGCCACCTCCTAGGCAAAGAGCTGGGAAAGGAACGCGGGAGCGAGCAGCCAGCCTTCCCGCGGGGAGAGAAGCTGAAACTGGGACTGAGGACATCTGGGTTCTACCCCTAGCACCCTGGCCGGCAAACTGCGGCCCGCGAGCCACATGCGGCTCTCTGGCCCCGGAGTGCGGCTCTTCCACAAAACACCACGGCCTGGGTGTCTGTGTTGAAGAAGTGGCGCTAGAAGACGTTTAAAATGTGGCTCCCCAAAGGATTGGCCATCGTTCTATGTTGATGTTTGGCTCTGCGGACTGATGAGTTTGCCGACCACGGGCCTAGTAGCTCAATGATTTGTTTGAAAATTTTAAAATATTTGTTCTTGGTACTGCTTTGGGCCTCAGCTTTTTCCTCGTTCACCACATAAATCTGAGTTGGGTGAGCTCTCACATTACCTCTGGCTCTGTATGGTTAAGACATAAACACACCCATGGAATGAGGGGAGAAATAAAGGTAAAAACTGAAGAGAACAAGATCATTGCACATTGATGGTGGAACTGGCCCTCGGGTCAGCCTGCCGCTAATCCTGAGATTGAGATTGGGATTGGGGTACCACCAAAGCAAGAAAGATTTCACTCAATTCAACAAATACCATGGGGCAATTATTTGCAATGAACTGTGCTATTTGGAAGGAGCATTCAAAATAAGTAATGATGGGTCTTAGTCTTAAGTTTTAGCCTAAGACCAAGTTTGTGAAGGAATCCAAGACTTAAGATTCGAAGACGGTTCATTACATGTCAATAGCCTAACGGGCCCAGGCCTGGGAAACACGCAGTATCTTCAAATCTTAAGATGCAACTGACAAATGACATAAAATCATACACAAAGTACAAACTCAGGCCATAATCAAAATCCATACGGCCCCCCTCTTTCTACGAGAATATAAACAAATGCTACAGGTCCTTGGAGATGGGAAGACACCCATTGCGCCTGTCGGACCCACACTTCATTAGGGAGCCCCACATTCCGTGTCAAACATTCTTGACTTGGCATCGGGGTAATTGGAATGAAGTAAATTACCAATAGGTTGTGCCAGACAAAATAAAAAGGCAACCGGAGTTCTCGCCTCTCATGCATTCCTTCCTACTGCACAGCCCACTTTAAAGGGGCCTGGTTGGGTCCTACTTCCTAGGATCGAAGAAGGAGAGAGACAACCTTCCCACTTCCCAGCCTTTTTCTGACAACCAAGACCTACCATGAAAATCAAAATTGATTTTTACCTCCAGATTTTTTTAAAAAAACACACACAACAGCACGAAGGTAAACTGCGTTGGCCATTTCACCCTGCAGGATGTGGGGCGATCCGTCCCTACGAATTCAAACTCCTTCCAGCCCCACACACACCCCCAGGGGAGGCTTTGGAGCGGAGGGGAGGGTGAGCATTAGGGGAACGGGAAGAAAGGGTTCTTACTTTGGAAAGGCAGGGGTGTGTGTGTGTGTGTGTGTGTGTGTGTGTGTGTGTGTTTTAATGCGCCACCTACAAATCCCACGCCTGGGACCGCATCGCGCGGAAACCCTGGCGGATTTGAAAACAAACGTTGGTCCGGGCTCCGGGCTCCGGGCTCCGGGCTCCGGGGAGGGGCCGGCCGGTCACTGACAGCTCGGCCTGGAAGCCCGAAGCCTCAAGTAGGTCAGGCGGGGCCCGGGGTGTGGAGCTCGGGGTCGGCCCGGGGGGCTCGGGGAGCGGGGCGGCCGGGCGGGATGGCTGCGCCCGGAGGGAGGGAGGGAGAGAGGGGAGAGGGAGGGGGCCCCCGCCGGGCTCACCTCGCTTGGGGGCCGTGAGGAGCGGCAGCCCGGCGGCCCGCTCGCCGTTCTCCTGCTTGTCCTTGTGCTTGAGCTCGGCCGGCCCGCAGGCGCCGGGCTCGCCGGCCGCGCCGCGGTGGTGGTGGTGCCGGTGCCGCTCGCGGTGGCCCTTGTGCCTGGGCCCGGCCGCGCTCACCGTCAGCGGCGAGAAGGTGAAGAGGGCCGACGTGCCGGGGGCCGGCAGCGCGGCGGCCACGGCGGGCCCGGCGGGGGCCAGCGAGGGCGGCGGCGGCGGCGGCAGCAGCAGGGGCTCCACGGGGCCCGGGAGGGTCGGCGGCGCGGCCGCTGCTGCATTCGGCGGCGGCGGCGGCGGCAGCGGCGGCGGCAGCGGCCCGGGATGTTGGCGGCTGCGACGCCGCCGGTGAGAGGCGGCCAGAGCGGGGTCCTGGCTCGGCCGCCCCCGCTTCTCCTGGGACCCCCCGCTGCTCGCCCGGCGCTGCCGCTTCACTCCCCGCGGCGAGGCCCCGGCGTGGGGCTTCTCCTTGCCGTCTTTGTCCGGCTCCTCCGGCGCCGCCACCGCCCGTACGACGCGCACCGCTCCGACCTGCGCAGCCATTTCACCCACAAACACACATTTAAATGGCCCGACCGCCCCCCCGTCCGCGTAGCGCGCAAGCGCATCCCGCGCACGGCCCGCTGGGCATTGGAGTCCCTCCGCCGCCCTCCGCTGCTCGGCGGAGCCCGGGCCGGAGCTGAACATGCCGGAAACGGCCGCTCGCCGCCGCCGCCGCCGCAGCCGCAGCCGCCGCGCCTCCCTCCACAGGCCTCTCCGCCCGAGCGCTAGTGTACAACCCCCGCGCCGCGCGGAGCCTCCTGGGAGCGGTAGTCCGCGCGCCCCCAGACGCCTCCTCTCCTCTCCTCTCCGCTATTGTACGGCCCCCCGCGCCGCGCGGGGCCTCCTGGGAGCGGTAGTCCGCCCGCCCCTAGCCGCCTCCCCGGCAGCGGGGGCGGCGAGCGGAAGGAGAGCGTGCGCCGAGGCACGCTCCGGGCTGCGACGCAACCGCGGCTGGGCGGAGAGTGGCCGCCAACCGCCCTAACGGCCCAAACAGTGTCCACGGCTCCCCGAGTCCACTGGCGGCGCGTTCCCATCGTCGTCTTCCCGTCCTCCTCCGTCATGTGGCGCGGACGAGGCGGTCTCCATAGTTACTTTGGGATCGCAGGTTCCTCGCCGGACCTTCGTGAGGCGAAGGAGCCTCCGGCCTTGTCTCCGGGAGCGGGCGAGGCGATGGAGAGGAAAGGGGGGACGTCGTGGGTATAAAGGGAGGGCGGCTTTGCCTTTCCCAGTCTAACGGGGCTGCCGTTCGGGAACGTTTGGGCCCCGCCCGCCGGCGTTGCCATGGTCACCGCGCCTGGCGTGGCGGGGCCGGGGCCGGGGCCGCCGGGAGCCGGGAGCCGCCCCGCGGCGCCGGGAAGCACATCCTGCAGTGAGGGGGGCGTTCTGGACGGAAGGAAAATGTTCTAAATGTTTTTTAAGGTTTTTTTCACATCGTGAGCATAAGGCGGCCAACATCCGTGCGCCTATCGGAGAGCACTGCCCGCCGCTCACCGAGGCTCCGCGCTCAAGTTCACGGACAGCGTCAGAGCCGCCTCCGCTTTTGCCCGGGATCCCCTCAAGGCCCGCGGTCCTTGATGAAGGTCATTCGGGGACAGTCGGTTCCGATGAAGTACTCGGGTCAGAGGACGGTGGTTGGATGCCCGCGGCGCCCGGATCGCCCCCGCGATGCATTCGGACAGGAGCTTGTTGAGCGCCTGCTGTGTACATCGCGCTACAGCGGCGGGCGGCGGGGTCTCAGCCAGCTCACGCCGCGACCGGCTTCCCACCGAAAATACGGACAGACAGATGCTCTCTGCGTATTTCCTGCTTCTGGAAGCCAGAGACTTTTTTTTTTTTTTTTTAATTAAAAGCAGTTAAATCATTTCGGAGAACTCTGGAGAATCCTTTGTGATGATTACTTAGTTGTTACAGAAAATTAGAAGGGAAAGATCAGACGACAGTCTTAAAATATGTAAGATCCATATTCATTTAGGAAAAAAAAAAAAAAAAAACCACAAACTTTAGTCGCGCTTCTGATTGGCTGTAAGTTGCACATGTTTACCCAGAACCTGTGAAATGAAATTGCTACCAAAAGATAGCTATTTTGTTAGTCATTCTAGATTTGGGGATTGGGTAACTGGTTAAAACTTATCAAGGATGTAAATTGAACATCTGGTTAGTTGATATATACAAATAAAAAGATTACAGTCATTTTTTTACGTATTCTCTTAAATATAACTTCTTTTCTTACTATTCTAGTTTCCCACAGCATTTGGGAAGATGTTCAAGGTATACTCCACTTAGGCAAAAATAACTCCCAGGGGACAGTCATTATCATCAGCGGCGATTTTGTATTTCAACCACAAGATAAGGTTTAAAAAATATATTTTTATAGTAAATTCTGGCAATGTAGACATTTAATTGAGATCCAATTCTTACCAATCCTTTCAAGTTTATGTAAAAAGTAAAGTCAAATATAAATAACTTTCAAAAATGAAAAAATCCATTCCCACACTCTTTTCTCCTATGGCATTCTCTCCAGAAGCTGAAGTGGCAAACTTTCTCTCCTGTTTCCAACCCAAGGCAAATGAGATTAAATGTAAAACTTTTGACACTTATTTGTGCATTGCTTTTCTTAAGAGCTGTTCCCACATGACACATCTGCACTGTTGACCTTGCGCATACAGAGCGCTTCGTTTAACGAGCGATGTTCTGGTAATTTTTCTCAGCCTGTAGTCCACAGTTCTGTTAAACATTCCAACTTGATGGTGGGTTCCTTGGTCCTTTGGGTTTTGAAAAACGATTTGCAAAACCTGGGAACAAAAACAAAGCTGAGGGTGAAAGGGGAGAAAGAATATGTACAAATTGCCAGTAAAAGTAGTCATGGGGATATAGAATAGAGTCCATAATAATGTAATTACTCTGTAGGGTGTCAGATGGGACTTAGCCAGGTGATCACGGTGTAAGGATAAGGGAAAATAGTCAATAATTTAATTACTCTGGTGTCAGATGGGACTTGCCCAGGTGATTACTTTTCTAATCTCTATGTTGTACACCTGAAATTATTATAATATTGTACATAAACTGTTATTGGAAAAGTACAAATTTTAAAAATAAAATTGAAAAAAGATTTTTATATAGAAATGAATACATGGATTTTAGAGTACATTCTGATATATTCAAACACTTAGATTTTTTTTAAAGGTTAGGCAGCATCTTTGAACAATTTAGTAATGGATTGTGAAGGTGTTACAGTAATTAAGTTATGCTGAAATGATAACAATAGAATGCTAATAGCATTTTATACTTGTAGAACACTTGCAAATTTAATAATGGTAGTAATTAGATAAAGAAACCTGGTATAATGGTCTTTGGTAGTTCAGCATATTTTTTTTCAGCTTTGTTGAGATATTGATATATAAAAACAGGGTGGGACAAAAGTAGGTTTACAGCTGTTTGTATGGAAAACAATACAATAATAAATAATACAAAATAAATAAATAAATAATACAAAAATAGGCTCTGTGTTTTGCTTACAACTGTAAACCTACTTTTGCCCCACTCTATATGTAAGTTTAAAGTGTACAACATGGTGATTTGAAACACATATAGTGAAATCATTACCACATTAAAATTAGTTAACATCTCTATCCCTCACATGATTACCATTTTTTGAGGGGTCCCAGACTGCGAGAGGGCACAGGCCGGGCTAAGGGACCCACACTGCCCCTTCCCCCCCGCCCCCGGCCAATAGTTGTTTTATAAGATTACTAGAGACCCAGTGCACAAATTCATGCACAGGTGGGGCCCTCAGCCTGGCCAGCAATTGGGCCAGTCAGGGCCGCAGAAGGTTGACCTGCAGGGGGAGGGACTTCAGGAGGTTGGCTATGGGAGTGCACTGACCACCAGGGGGAAGCTCCTGCATTGAGCGTTTGCCCCCCTGGTGGTCAGTGCTTGTCATAGCAACCGGTCAACCAGTCATTTGGTCTTTAAGTTGCTTAGGCTTTTATATATATAAATTGTATTTAATCCACTCATATTTCTGCTTCAGCCCAGAAAGCCTCCATTTATTGAGAGCTTATATTTGAAAAGCTTAGAAAAAATAAAGTAATAAACAATCCTGGAGAACTAAGTATGTAGCTAGTCATTATATCTCTCCCTCAAACACTACCCTCTCATCTATCCCAAAGAAGGAGGATGCGAAAATTTTGCACAACCAATGATGGTTTTTTTCTGTGTCCTTTCAAAATATATGAAGAGTAATGACAGTTGATTCTTTATCACTTCAGCAACATATGACTTCCCTTTTCTTCGATGGAGGATATTTTGAAGGTACTCTTACACTTAGCAGCTTTAGGAGTTCAAAGTGAGCAATGAAAAATTTGAAATACAAAAGGAGAACAGACAATGGTAAGCTCAAAGATGTTCCTGAGCCTTTCATTTGCATCATCATCTTACAAATTGTGGGTAGGCCTTGCAGAACTGCTGAGAGCATCAGTGAGATATTTATTAAGGCACCCAGCACCATGCCTGACACGTACTAACTCATGTGTTGCTTACATCTGAACCATTTGGTTACCTGCCTTTACTTTCTGCAAACGCTAGGCAATTACATGTAATAGAATACATAAGGGTATGCAAGATGTTAAGTTGTAGCTGGGGTCAAAAATAAAAAGATAAATTGCATGGAAAAGAATATAAAGATAGGGACCTATGCATGCAACCTCAAATCCTATTTAAAGTTGTATATCTTATACTATAAAAGAATAATTTGGGTAAACATGAACTCTGCTGGCAAATAACACACATACCAAAATTTAGTAAGGAGCTGGAGTTACTTGACTGAACAGAGTCTGCAGGCTTGTTTGGCGAGGAAGAATTACAGAGACCTAGAATGAAAAGGAAAAAATGTGAGGAAAAGAATAAAGACCAACTGGAGATAATTTTTTACCTTCTTATTGAATCTATTGTGATGGTATTGGCTAATAAGGTTGTATAGGATTCAGGGGTGAATTCTATACTACACCATCTGTATATTCTACTGTGTGTTCACCACCCATCACCATGCACACCCTTATTCATAATACACTTTTAATTTTTAAATATATTTTTATTGATTTCAGAGAGGAAGGGAGAGAGAGAGAGAAACATCAATGATGAAAGAGAATCATTGATTGGCTGCCTCCCGCATGCCCCCTACTGGGGATCAAGCCCGCAACCCAGGCATGTGCCCTTGACCAGAATCAAACCTGGGACCCTTCAGTCCTCAGGCTGACGCTCTATCCACTGAGCCAAACCGGCTAGGGCTCCTAGTACACTTTTAAATCATTTGTTCTCCACAGTAGATCATCCATGGCAAAGTCTGCAATTTTTCTTACACTATCTTCTACTCCTGGAATATCTTTCTTCACTTTCCAGTCTCCTTGACCCCATTACAGATGGTTCTAGTTAGGCCCTGAATCTCTCCAAAGCACTATGTTTCTTTATTTTGCCATTTAGCTACTTCTTGGTAGGCTTAAAATATGTAGTATTTCTCTTCCCAGAACCTTACTATTGAGGCATCAGTTTCTGCCCACTTTTGAAAACAATCCAGTGAAAACGTCCCACATTTTGTGGGATCATTGTTTAGCAGTGGAAAAAGATAAGAAATTATTAAATTTCTTTTGCTTTGTTTTCAACATTTTCAGAATGCAGTGTTAGGACTGTGTATGTTCATATACACATACGTAATACCAGGATTCTAGAAAGGTACATTCCTGGAGGTACTTGAGTATGAATCACTAACATACGTACTGAATTTCAGTCCAATTAAAAATATATTTATTGAATACTTACTATATGCTAAGTATTGGGTTAGGCACTGGTAGAGACAGAAACATCAATGACGAGAGAGAATCATCTATCAGCCGCCTCCGTCAAGTCCCCTCTCTGGGATCAAGCCTGCAACCCAGACATGGGCCTTGACTGGGAATTGGACCAAGACTTCCTGGTCCATAAGTTGACACTCAACCACTGAGCCACACCGGCCAGACTGATGTGTTCTTTTAGAAAAAGAAACCTGTGTATTTCATAAGCTAAGCTTATCAAATCAATCTTTGGCTATTCAAGTCCCTCATTGCTTTTAGCTGTTTAATTCTCCTGTTTTATACTATAACTTCCTCCTCTTGAAATGCTTAAATTCTCTCTTGACTGGCTTTAGCCATCATATTTTTCCATTATACTTAGTCATCATAGGTAAGAAATCAGTTCATTTCGGAGATTAAGTGTGGTGGCAATGACAGCAGAAGGCGCAAATTTATGGAAAGATAGAGTGAAAACTCAGGAGAAAAGAGTAAGATTGGCTATAAACCTTCTCACTTGGATAATACCTTACATCAAGTTTTCTCAGTGTTCTTTGTCCCTTCCTATCATACCAACAGCAGTTTGGTCCTTGATGACTAACCAAATGGATCAACTTTGTAAAACTATATCACCATTGCCTGGTCAGTGTGGCTCAGTGGTTAAGCATTGATCTATATGAACCAGGAGGTCACAGTTCAATTGCCGGTCAGGGCACATGCCTGTTACAGGCTTAATCCATAGTGTGGGACATGCAGGAGGCAGCCAATCAATGATTCTCTCATTATTGATATTTCTATCTCTTCCTCTCTGAAATCAATAAATAGATAGATATACATAACAACTGTATCGCCATGTTTTATATACTTTATAAATAAGAATTTCTAAGATAATCACAATCCCACAATTTTAGGAGTCTTTGAGTTTGTTTTCATTACAATGTGTCAAAAGTAGCAAGCAACAGACTATTGCTGATAGTTGGTAAAAATAGAAATGAGTCAATACTTTGCTTCCTTTATTAAATCAACACATCTGTTTCACAATATGCTTTGCTGTGACTTTTCAAAGAAAATACATCTGAGGTTACCGCTGGGAATTTTAAATAACACGCTTGGGTGACAGCACCTTAGGATGAGTAGAAATGACAAGCATTTCATTCTCTTATTCCACACCCTCCTCCTGCCCCCCAGCCCTTCACTCTGCACTCAGTATTAGATTATCGCTGTTGGTGCCCAGCACAGTACAGGGTTTGGGGGTGATCTGACGCTTAGGACCCAACCAAGCTTCTGTTTAGGAATGATGTTAACTTTTCACAGAGTGGTTATATAAGGGGGAATTAAATAATCATGAGAGTAGTATACATAGTCTAAAAAAGAAGTATGAAGAGGCTTACTCTTTTTCATGTTCCGCAAAATTTTCAAACTCTGCAAAAATGAAGAAAAGGAAAGTGTAAAATTTTGGTGTGAAATCCAAACTACTTTAATCAAGTAGAAATACAGATGTCAGTGAAAAGGATTAATTTCCTTTACAAAAAGCCAACAAAGTGCACAAAACCATTTTTTCATTTTTAATTCGGTGAAAATAGCCCTGGCTGGTTTGGCTCAGTGGGTAGAGAGTCAGCCTGTGGACTAAAGGGTCCCAGGTTCGATTCCAGTCAAGAGCACATGCCAGGATTGCATCCCCAGTGGGGGCTGTGCAGGAGGTAGCCGACCAATGGTTCTCTCTCATCTCTGTCTCCCTCTCCCTTCCTTTTTGAAATCAATAAAAATACGTTTAAAAAAAAACAACTCCTTGACTATGATGCCAGTTGCAGATATTTTTTTCCAGTTTGTTCCTGGGCTTTTGATTTTAAGTTTATTTATTTATTTATTTTGCCATGAAGAAATTTTCTATTTTATTTAAGTGAATTTATAAATCTATCTTCTTATGGCTCCTGAATTTTGAGTCATCCCCACTCCCAGGTTGTAAAGTAATCTTTCCAAGTTTCTTTTGTACTTTTTTGTGTGTGTGTTTTTTGTTGTTGTTGTTCATTTGTTTCTCTCTTTATTTTCTCTCTCTCTCTCTCTCTCTCTCTCTCTCTCTCTCTCTCTCTCTTTTAACACTTAAATCTTTTATCCATCTAAAATATATCCTGGTATAGCTGTGAGGTATGGATCCTAGTTTTTTGTGTGTTTTTTTCAGGTGCTTATCCAATTCAGCCAACACCAATTATTAAAACATCCATCTTTAATCATATAGTAAATTCATATGCATATTTAAATCTATTTCTGGACTTCCCATCTGCGGTGTAGGTATGTGTTTTTTCATACACCAATATCATGTCATTTTAATAACTGGGGCTTTACAATGGTTTAATGTCTGGTAAGCGACCCTCCTTCCACGGCTGTTACTTCTATTTTAATTTTTTACAGTTTACCAGCCATTCTTGCTCTTTTTACCCCCCTCGCCCCCTGAACTTTGGAATCAGTTTGTCTCATTCCGGTATATAAAAAAAGTTGATGGTTTTATTAGGCAGGCTTTAAACTAAGGTGTATTTTTTTTTTAATTTTTGGTTTCCTTTTATTTTAATTGTCAGGAGACCAACAATTTTAGCGAAGCTATTTAATGTAATCTTCCATCTTAACGCTGGCAGCTGGTGGGAAAGAAGGGCGTGGGGCTCAGGGGGCACCTCCAGTAAAGAGAGGTCTCTGGTGTGTTCCACAATGGTCCACCTTTTCTACCTTGCTCCTCGTGAAACATCTGCCCGTCTTCAGTGTTTGTTTGGAAGATGTTGGCTTTTCCCCGGTGTTGGGACAGCTGACCTCTATGGGTTCAGCCTCCATACCTAAAATAATAATAATAATAATAATAATAATAATAATAATAATAAATAAATAAATAAATAAATAATTTGTTGCAGAGCTTATAGAGGCACATACTCATTCCTGGCTTTTTTTTTTTTTTTTTTTTTATGCACTATTTCTAGAATACAGTGTGGGCTTTTGAAATGTGTCATTTTTATCTCCATCACTCCTTGCACCGTTTTCATTCAGGTCCCACTGTGCGGTTAGCCTTTAACGGTCCCGTGTCTATAGCTTTGGGGGCGGCCGCGCTGCACGTACCGTCCTCGTCGGCGAGGAAGAGGGACTCCCGCGTCCTCTCCGGCAGCGGAGGGGGCGGCGAACAGCGGTCTCCGTGCCCATCTGTGCCGGGAACAGGGCGCAATGAGCACACACAGCCGCCCCGGGGCTCTCAGGGCCCCTTTTTGACTTTGTATAACTTTCCCGATGTTTCACTATTAACCTGCAGCAACCACAGGAGAAACGGTCTAGACTATGGCTGGGTAGTCTAGGCTCTGTTCTCTCAGCTCTGCAGCCCATGAGCCTCGCATCCATCCACCCTGGGAGCTCACGGACAGAAGTGCTGTTCCAAAGAGACGGAACCGGGATTGACTCGAGTGTCTCCCTCTTACAGAGCGCCCTGAAGCCACACACCTGCTTTCTCCGCAGATTCACCTGTGCTGGATATCGCCTCTGCCTCGCGTCTAAGTTCCTTAAAACCTCCCCCTACGTTATCTATCCCAATTTGCTTCCCATATTCCCCAGAGCAGAGCTTCCAGTGCAGTTAAAGTAACCTGCTCGCCGTTTCTCTGTACCTTTGAGTCACTGTGACCTCAGTCCCTGCTGCTGGAATTCCCTCCTTTCTCACCGTCTATCCATATTCTTTTCTTTTCTTTTCTTTTTTTAAATATATTTTATTGATTTTGTACAGAGAGGAAGAGAGAGGGATAGAGAGTTAGAAACATCGATGAGAGAGAGTCATCGATCAGCTGCCTCCTGCACACCTCCTACTGGGGATGTGCCTGCAACCAAGGTACATGCCTCTGACCAGAATCGAACTTAGGACCCTTCAGTCCCCAAGCCGACGCTCTATCCACTGAGCCAACCCGGTTTCGGCTCTATCCATAGTCAAACTGCTTCCTTCCACTCAGTGAAATATTTCCTAACCACTCCGGTGATACCTCCCTTTTTTCTGGATTCCTGGGGACGATAATCAGGGCCACACACATGACCATGTAATAGTTGGAAATGAGTGTTAATTTTGTCTACCTAATTTGAATGTGAGCATTAAGCAGTACTCTTCCTTTCTTTTAGGAAAAATTTTGAATATATTTCCAAGTAGAAAAATAGGGCAATTAATCTCCATAAACTCAGTTCAACAATTTTCAAGATTTTGCCAGATTTGCTCAAATTGAACCCTTTTTGCAAATTTGCAAATCTTTTGTTATCACAATTTATCATTTTTATTACATTCAATATTATATTACTTTTAAGTTACAGCATAGTGGTTAGACAATCATATACTTTACAAAGTGTTCTCCCCGATATTTCCAGTACCCACGCAGGACCATACATACTTATTACAATATTATTGGCTATATTGCCAATGCTTTACATCCCTGTGACTATTTTGTAACTATCTGCACTTCTTAATCCCTTCATTTTTTCACCCAGTTCCCCAACCTCACTCCTCTCTGGCCGCCACCTGTCTATTCTCTGCATCTAAGAGTCTGTTTCAGTTTTGTTCATTTATTTTGTCCTTTAGAATCACATATACATGAACTTATATGGTATTTGTCTTCCTAGCAGTACCCTTTCTCCTATATGCTCCTAACATGATAAAAGGCACACGGAGCTTGCCTAGGAGATGCTCACGTAATAATTATCAAATAAAAAGTATAATCGGTAACATTTAATGAGAGTTTATTTGACAACCACTGTGCTAACAGCTTCATGTGCATCATCACACTTAGTCCTTGTGGAAATCCTCTGAGAAAGGAGTTCTATTACCCACATTTTATAAATGAGAAGAATCGATACAGTACATCAATTAGCCAAGGTTATACATTTTGATAGCTATTGGAACTGTGGGGATTGGAAGTAAAGTCTGTCTGGCTCAAAAGCCCATTTTTAAAACCTCTATGTTATACTATCTATTTACGGATAGTATGAATCCTATAAGTGAATACTATGTTAATATGAAGAAATAGGTTAAGGGCAACTACCATCTGGTATAGGGCATGTAAAGTACCCATTAGTGCTCAGTAAATGGTAGCTGTTGATATTGTTACTCAATGTCTAAGACAAGCAAAGCTCAGGAAAGTACAGTAGAAGCAATGGCAGGTTAAAGATCTAAATGGCCGCAAATAACTTTTAGAATCACGTTATGAACAATGGCAAAACCTATACAATGGAACCACTGCAGTTTTAAGAGATTCTACCTGAAATAGTTTTTTTTAAGGGGCTATATAGTAGGGAGCAGAATCCTAAAACCCTGTTTTCACCTGGCCCTTGACAAAGCAAAACTATAGATCAATTAACAGAGGAACCCGTTAAGGAAAGCACGCCATCTCCTGAGGTGAATTACTCTGAACTCAGTGAGCCATTCTCACAGTGCAGATGCTGAGGGCTAACATCTCATCTACAGCCACAGGAATGTGTTTACCTGATATGCAACTCCGGAGTTTTACACACTAAAAAAGAAAAAAAAAAGAAAGGAAAAGTGAACGAAGAATATGTACACAAACTTACAAACTCAAAGCAATGCATGGCATTTATGAAGTTATGTTGCATACACAAATAAAGATAGTTATGAAATGTTGACCCCGTTTTTTGTAATTTGTAAGCGTGCTGAATTATGAAAAGGCATCAACTCAGCGATTTTTATATGTCACGACAGTTGGTCCTAAATTGATTCTCTTTTGACCTATTTCCTTCCTACTCAGAACATTTCCTGTAAATTTAATTGAGGGTAAATTGTTGAAATTGAAATTACTTCATGACATTGGAAAAGGAATGAATTTTCTTTTCTCTGGGAATTGTTAATTGAAAGACCATTTTATGTAGCATATTATTAACAATAATAATAATTACTAGTAAATTAAAAGTATAATTAAAAAGGTACAGAGCATTTGCCTACCAGCATTGTGATTGTAGGCATTTTTAAATGTTGTAGTTAATTATTTTTCTGATCTCTTAAATTGTAAGAGAGTTGGTTCAAGAATATATACAAATGCGTAACTGATTGTTGAAAGTAAAGATTTTCTTCTAGAGGCAGGGAACATTATTCCAAGAGGTTTAATTCAATAATATGGACATGTGTCACTCAAAAATTTACTCTCTATAATATGTTATCACAGCTAGCACAATATAGTCAACCACATGACTATTGAAAACAAGCTACCTACTTATGAAACATTTACTTTTTTGACTTAACTCTCCTTCAAGAATCAGCTCATATGTTTCCACTTTCTCTGTGTTTTCATTTTCCACTTCTGACCTGAAGGGCTCTCCCTCATTTTCACATCTCTTCTCTTTCCTATGACCCTGGTCTTATTTGCCTTGTTATAATAAACTAGAAGCCCAGTGCACAAGATTCATGCAAGGGTCTTGGTTCTCGCAGCCCTGGCTTCATCTGGAAGGTTGTCGGAAAGTTTCGGAAGGCTGTTCGGCCGTCTGGTCTAATTAGCATAATGTGCTTTTATTATTATAGATAGACAACATTACTTGTATACACACCCTATATCTCCACTGCTAGACTGAGTGTCTTAAGGGCAATAATTAGATCTTATACATCTTTTTATCCCCAATGTCCTCTCGCGCATTGTTTTATAAGTAGGTATCTACTTACTATTTATTGGCTGGTAGGTGTTAAAATTACTAGGAGTAGGACTAGAGTCCGTTGAATCCCAATGAGTCAGAAAAAAGAAGTTATGGACCTGGATTTGTCTAAGTCTCACCGAGTCATCAGATTTGCTGGATTTAGATGTTCCAATTTCTGACATCACAGCGGAAGATAAAGATTGGGGCACATGCAGCGGGACTTCTCCTGGAAGGAAGGAAGTACGGTCCAGTTCTGAGGAGAGCTACACTTCTTTTAGCCAGCAGATATTACTCAGCAATAGCACGCACAGCACTGAGAGGACGTGAGCTTTGTGTCACTCACTGAACTGTACTCACCAGCGTCCTCTACCACAATGAAAGACTCAGGGGTCCGCTCAGGAAGTGGAGGGGGGGTTTCATCGTCTATCCTTGGAGAAGTTGCTATCCAAAATATCAGAGGTAGAATTAAAATTTCTAATTAGGAAAATCCAAAGAAAATCCTTACATTTTAACTGGATGGAAATCCCATCAAGCGCCATCACAATGTTTAAGCTGGTATCTGTTCACTCAAGGAAAAAGCAAAAAAATATTATCTTAAGCTCTATGCTTCTTCAAAATGTATGATTTCTGCCGAAACTGGTTTGGCTTGGTGGATAAAGCGTCTGCCTTCGGACTCAAGGGTCTCAGGTTCGATTCCGGTCAAGAGCATGTACCTTGGTTGTGGGCACATCCCTAGTGCGGGGGTGTGCAGGAGGCAGCTGATTGATGTTTCTCTCTCATTGATGTTTCTAACTCTCTATCCCTCTCTCTTCCTCTCTGTAAAAAATCAATAAGATATATTAAATAAATAAAAAGATCATTGACAATTTTTATTTAAAATTTTAAAAATTGTATTATTTGTTAAAAGCCCAAAAGTATTTTGACCGAGTCACTGAGTATCATCTACATTAACAAAATAGTATTACATAACTCTTTCCTTTCGTTTTACATAGAATATACAATACAGCATCGTAAAAGCACTTTGATATGCCGGAGATTCAGTTACAGACTTGGTGAAATCATAAAGATTTTAGTATCTCTTATTCATTCTACAAGCATGAAGAATATGTGTGTCTTTTTATCTTTAAAAAAAAAACAATCTTGTACCAGGGTTTCTATATTTCTGTAGAAATAGTCAGAATTTTTATAGAAAAACTAGAGACCCGGTGCACAAAATTCATGCACTGAGGTGTGTGTGTGGGGGGGCAGTGTCCCTCAGCTTGGCCTGCACCCTTTCCAATCTGGGACAGCTGGCTCCTAACAGCTCGTCTGCCTGCCTGCCTGATTGCCCGGCACTGCTTCTGCCTGTCAGCTTGATCGCCCCCTAACCATTCCCTGCCAGCCTGATTGATGCCCAACTGCTCCCCTGCTGGCCTGATCTTGCCCCTAACTGCCCATCTGGTGGTGGCCATCTTGTGATGGCCTGAGGACATCGTGCCAGGATGTGAGGACCAGCAAGTCTTTTATTATAGATAGTATAGTATAGATGTGATGCTATTATAAGAAACTGCCACCAGATGGCACACATGAAATGTTCTTACAATCCCTGAAGATAAGGATTTGTCTTTTAACATTGATGTTCAGAGAATTTAACGTATTATAGGTGCCTAGAAAAATAAAACTCCTTTAAATTATAAAACAAGGTCAAAATATATTAAAAAAATAACCTAATCAAAGCAGGAAATAGATCTAGAAAAAGTATTTTTGCAACAAAGCTACATGTCAACACATCTATAAAGACACGATACAATAATGTATAGCGTAAAAGCTCTTTTTACTAACTATTCAGGTAAAACATTTTTAATAAATTTCTGATGATTCACCTAAGAGAGTTAAATTTACTCTTTGCTTTCTTTTTCAAACTTATAATCATCTCTAACAGGGTATTTACTTCTACTATCAAACCACCCAGTAAAACAAGGTACATCATATGCAAAAATATAGAATTACAAAATAAAGCATGGAAGTGAAGGTGTATATATGACTGAATTCCCACACAGAGCCCAGCTGGTGTTGCTCAGTGGTAGATCACTGACCTAGGAACCAAAAGCTTCCTGGTCAGGGCACACGCCTGGGTCCCTGGCTCTCGTTCCCCAGTGTGGGGCGTGCAGGACACAGCTGATCAATGATTCTCTCTCATCATTGATGTTTCTATCTCTCTGTCCCTCTCCCTTCCTCCCTGAAATCAATAGAAATATGTATTTTTTTTTTTAATTTCACATAGGCTATGGAACACATATTCTCACCTACTAAGTTGTTATAAAAGGGCAGGAGGGAATCCTGCCCTTTTGCCACTGCCCCTGCCCCAGCAAGAGACTGTAACACTGAGCTCTCTGTTCCGCTCAGGACGGCCACATGGCCGGGCCATAAAAGCTCTGAGTGACCATGTAGTGCCATAGATCGAATCTTTTCTTAAATTCCTTTGGTAATTGCTTCTGAGTGTTAAGGGAAAATTGTGGACCTTTCCTAAACATTTCCAGGAATGAGAACGGCCTTCTTTAAAAGCACTTCTGTTGGCTTCCTCTCAGGGCTGGGGAATGTCTGGCCCACGTAAAGCTGGCGAAATAATGCATTGGGTCTGGCCCTGCCAAGGCATGAGGGGTGCGTTAATTAAACGTTTGACCAAATATACTGTTATGTTGATAGTTTCCCATGACTGGCGAACGATATTATAAATATCCAAATGGCCCTCGGCAGAAAAAAAGGTTTCCCACCCCTGGCATAGACGGTGGTGGATCATGGAATGTCGCGTGTTTGTTTTTTGCTATTTTCAACTTATCACAGCATCAAAACTCTCCTGCCATTGATTTCCGAGAAGGAGAAGGACGCACAGACAAGGACAAAGGGGAGGGTGAGGAGAAACCAAATCTTCTGTAGAAACAAAGTGAAATCCAAAATGCCATCTAACCAGGCTGTTGAATCTCAGAGGGGGGCTTGGGTGGGTGGATGGGAAGAGATCAGCCAGACCACCTGTATGCACACATGCATCACCCACGGACACAGACGCTGAGCGGTGAAGCCAGGGCAGGGGCCGGGCAGGCTAGAAGGGGCCACTGGGGGGATAGGGGGAGACCTCTATATTACGCCCAACCATCAATTTTAAAACATATATATATAAGGTGCCACGTAAGCTTTTAAAAACAACTCACCACCGTCGGCTCCCTCTCGGTTCAGCGTGGAGGGGAAGTCGGTTGGCGGGTTCGGGGCCGGAGAATCCCCTGGGAAACAGCAGGAAAGCGGGGCCGCGGAGGCTGAGGGCCGCGGCGCGGAAGGTGACAGGGCTCCCGCTGGCTCCGCGGGCAGATCCAGGGCCATCTCCGAGCCGGCGCGCCTGGGAGCCGGTGCGGGGTGAGGAGCACCGGCCAGGGACCCGTGGGAGCGGGCGCGGAGGGCTCCGGCGCCGCGGGCCGGGCTCACGCGGGGCCCCGGGCCCGGCGACAGCGAGCGGCCCGGCTCCGCGGGGGAAACGTGCGCGGCCTTCCCAGCCGGCCGCCGGGGGGCGCCGCGGAGCAGGGGGGCCAGGCGGGGCAAGTCCTCCCCGGCGCCCCGCTCGCCGGGCCCTGCCTGCGGGCTCAGCTCAAAGGGGGAGGACTTGGTCCGAGTGATGGGCCCCTTGGCGCCGAGGGGCCTCCCTGCGGCTTCTGCAGGGTCAGAGCCGGGGCCCCGCAGGGCCCAGCTCAGCTCCAGGCTCGGGCACTTGTGCAGGGGCTCCCCCGCCGCCGGCAGCGCCCTCCTCTCCCAGGTCAGGGCTGCGCCAGCACTTCTGTCACAACCGTCATTCAGCTCCAGAAACTCCAGCGAGCGGTTCTGCTGGGCAGGCTGCAGGGCGAACCCTGCCTGCCCGCAGGTCTCCCAAGTCCTGGGCCCAAAGGAAGAGGCTTCTGCATTTCCCGCCGGGGCCCTCTGTTCGCCCGGATGGTTCATGGCTGTTGCTTCTCTCATGCTGCCGAAACAGGGAGGAATCGAGAGGATCCATCACCCAGAGGAAGTAATGATGACCCGTATCCCCGGCAGGCTTCCTCCAGAGCTTTCCCCCGCAGCACACTGATGAGCACGTGGATGTGTCAAGGCACACTCACCTTCTTGGGAAATGAGAATAGGCGTTCGCTTCCAGGCCGGGATTTTGCTCAGGAACCGGATACCCCGCTTGCATCTTCAAGAAAAAGAAGAGGTTGCTTTTTTAGGGAAGCAATGAAAGTGCGATAGTTTCTATTCCTAAGGCTGAAAAGTTGTTGTTTTCAGAAAAATGTAAAGGTTTACAACAAATCACAAGAGAGTGAGATGAGTTTTCAAAATATTGAAACCAGCCAGAGCATGTCCACACATTGCGAGCGTGTTCACACACTGAGACCAAAAGGATCAGAACAAAGGGTTGACGGTGTTACAGAAAGTGGAAAGGATTTAGTAACAGTGATCGCCTTTTAAAATGGGGGAGTTTTACAAGGTTCTGGGGAACAGCTTGATTCCTAAGAACACTCTGCCTTTAGAAATCTCATCATCTTGCCAAAACCGGTTTGGCTCAATGGATAGAGCGTCGGCTTGGGGACTGAAGGGACCCGGGTTCGATTCTGGTCAAGGGCATGTACCTTGGTTGCGGGCACATCCCCAGTAGGGGGTGTGCAAGAGGCAGCTGATCAATGACTCTCTCTTATCGATGTTTCTAGCTCTCTATCTCTCTCCCTTCCTCTCTGTACAAAATCAATAAAATAAATTAAAAAAAGAAAAAAGAAAAAGAAATCTCATCATCTGAACCCTGAACCTTAACAGGTGAGTATTAGGTTTCCATCCCTACCTCATAGCGTTCTACTTTTTCTTCCTTACCACGCTCCAGCTACCTGTGTTTTTCGCCATTCCCTAAGCATGCTGACCTTGTTTCCAATTCAAGGCCTTTATGCTCTCTGTCCCCTGTGGTTGAAATACTCTTGCTCCAGATTTTGCAGGGCTGGCTCTTTCTAAGTTATTATTTTCCACTTGCATGTCAGCTGAAGAAGGAAATGGTCCCTGACCACGCAACCTGCAGTCACACTCCCACACACGTGCCCAGCCACTCTCAACCCGTTTTCTTCCCAGCAATTATCATGTTATGAATTTTGTTGCTGTGGCTCATGGAACCCAAGACACCACTGACTGAAAACTCTTATCTTGATTTCAGAGACATTGAAATGTAAAAAAAAAAAAAAAAAAAAAAAATTTAAGTCATCAGCAATTATAAGACTCCACCTATTATGGGTTTAATTGTGACTTTCAAAAGGATATGTTAACATTTAACATACCCCTGATATAACAAACTTATCTTACTTGAAACCATACCAGATAGTGTTATAGTTTTCAGTCATCAAACAATCTAGAAAACTTACGAGAAGGAAAACCTATTACGTTTACCCGTGTGTTTTGCTCACCATGTTCTTCCTTCTTTCATAATTTCCTTTCTGTTTAAGAAACTTCCTTTGCTATGTTCTTAGGGTAAGTCTGCTGGTGACAAATTGGGTAAGTTTTTCTTCACCTGAGAATGTCTTGATTTCCCCTTCATTCCTGAAGGATATTTTCACTGGGTGTAGGATTCTGAGTTGGGAATTCTTTTCTTTCAGAACCTAAAAAATATTGTGCGACTTCCTTCTGGCCTCCATGGTTACTGAGGACAAATCCATTGTCATTCTAATTATTTCCTCCTACAGTTAAGATCATTTTCCTCTGGCTGCTTTCTATAATCTTTGTCTTTAGGTTCAGAGGTTTAATTATGATGACTCTTTCAGTACATTTATAGCTTTGCCTTTTTTCTCCTCTGCTTCTTACATTTCAATGACACAAATGCTAAGCTTTTTGGTATAGTTCCTTACTTCCCTAAGGTTCTGTGTTTTGTTTGTTTTTTAGTCTATTTTATTTTCTGTTGTCCAGGTCTTCCAACTCATTAATTCTTTCTTCTGTACCCTACATTTTTTTTATTGAGCCTATCTACTAAGCTATTTTATCTCAATTACTATATTTTTCGGTTCTAAAATTTCATTTCTCCTCTATATTTCCTGGGGTGTTTTTTTTCTGAGTCTTTATATTTCTTTGCTGAGCCTTTCTATTTATTCGTTTGTGTTTTTGTTTTAGTTTTTGGTCATTTGTTTTAAGCATGTTTGTAATTGCTCACTGAAGCATTTTTATCAAGGCTGCTTTAAAATCTTTGTCAAAATAAAATAAGAAAAAAAAAAAATAATAAAATCTTTGTCAGATAATTCTAACATCTCTGCCAGCTCAGTGTTACCATCTATGGATCTTTTATTCACTTGGTTTGAGATCTGATGTGGATCTTCTCTTAAAGCTGCTCCTTTGTTTTCACTCCATTCTGACAGGAGAAGGGTGCTGCTTCCTTGTTACTACCAGGCGGATTCCACCTCCACCAGTCTCCACACTTAATCTGCTGATACTCAAGGGGAGAGATCATGGGAGAGGCTCCCATGTCATCGCTGACATGTGGTGGAGCTGGCCTCGTTAGTCGGATGATGGTGACAAGGAGTCCTGGCTGTCTGTCCATTAGGTCTCTTCTGCCCGAAGCTCAGCTCCCCGTGTGGTCTGCACAGCACTGCAGGGAAGCACATCGCGGGCCGCTGGGGGTGCGAGGCCTAGCTCTCTGCTTGGCCTTTCCAATGCCACCCCAGCCCTCATGGTCTCGTGGGGATGGGGACCGCAGACTCTGCACTCAGCCTTTGCCGGCACGGATGGGGTTGGGGACCATTGTTTTAAATTTGGTGTTGACTGGAGTAGAGTGGTTATTATCTAAAAGTTTTATGTCTTTTTAAAAATATATGTTTTATTGATCTTATACAGAGAGGAAGGGAGAGAGAGAATTAGAAACATCGATGAGAGAGAATCATCAATCAGCTGCCTCTTGCACACCCCCCACTGGGGATATGCCCGCAACCAAGGTACATGCCCTTGACCGGAATCGAACCCGGGTCCCTACAGTCCCCAAGCCGACACTCTATCCATTGAGCCAAACCAGTCTCGCCTAAAAGTTTTATGTCTTGCTGGGCCATGCCTTTCTTGGTCCTTTGGCTGGAGAGAGGAGGCAATATTCAAATTTAACCCAGTGACAGTGCTGTGACTCCAGTCAGTTGGGTTGTTGGGAGTGGGTCTTTAGTCAGTAAATTGGATATTCTAAAACATTATCAAAACTTGATGAGACATGCAATAAAAAGGAGGCTAGCGTAACCTAAAAAATTACATCAGTATTCAATCTGGTTTCACTTTGTAACTGTCACTCTCATTTCTAACTCACACACAACTGTCTAAGACCTGGGAAGCAAGAATATATGCTCGCTCTTTCACACCTATTGTTTCTAAATTTAGCTAAAAATTATATGCAAGAGGTTCACCAAAAGACGAATTTTCTAAGTTAAAATACTTGAGTTATTTGTCTTCTCCACAGGAGATTCGCAGTGCAGCGCCTGTGCTTCGGACACTTCCGTTTAGTCGTGATGAAAAGCAATAAGCTAAGTCCTGTAACTAATCTAAGGGCCCTTCACCAAATCTAATGTGTTGTTTTGTTTTTTTAATTTACAAAACGTCACGTTTGAAGTTTACCTCTGTTCCAGAGTGTCTATCTCTGATGACCTCCATATGCCTCTTAAATAGTTCTATGACGGCTTTGTAGACCAGTTCGTACTGTTCCTGGAGAGCGCCACAAACCGGAACAAAGGAAAACAAACAGACAAACAAAAAAACCGTGGTGAGTTACAGAACCTGATTTCAGAAATATGAACACCAATCAAATCCTAGGCTAGCAACCCTGAAAAGACCATTCACATTAGTTCAACGACAGGGCCTTATGCTTGTATAGCCCGTTGCAGAGATCAGAGCACTTTCATGCTGCTAGGAACAGCTAAATATTTGATCTACCTCTAAGTAATACACCAGGAAGGAACTTGCAGCAAGTTTTCTGTGTTCAAACCCCCTTTTCTTACTTATCTTTCCTTCCATCTTCACCCCTCTATTTCTGTTTTCCTTGCTCATGTATTAACATTTTTATTTAATTTGGATGCACTTTTGTGTGTGTGCAAGCCACCTTTACCTTTTCTAAAAAAGGTAGACAGATTATGGTTGGTAGGTAGATAGATGGTTCTAATAGGTAACATTTAATTTGACCCTTATAATTGACCTATAAACAAGCTAGGCTGTCATCCTGTTTATAGATTATTTGTCCAAGGTCATTCAGAAGTACTTTCCAGAACTTGAGGTAGAACCCGGATCTTCTGACTCTTAGTTTAGAGCACTGAGATCAAACTGCTGAAATTATGTCTTAGCAAAGACATCAGAGAAGAGTGCTGAATAGAGTTTGAAAATTTATGGCTATAAAAGGATTTCATTATAGAGAAATGAGTTCTCTTCTATTACAACGTTATTAGGTTTTTACTACTCCTTTTTTGCCTCTGTACCTGCTCACACACTTGATTTTGTATCTACTTTTCATCTGAATGGGCCTATTCAGGGTTTTCCCCTGACTCTTTACACGATCTTATACAAATAAAGCACAGCCTTTTCTAAAGATAATTTTAGCGGGAGCACAATGAACAGTCTATGTCAGTCAACATGACCATTGGTACACTCTTTATATTTCTTAAGAATAGAGAAAAATCACACAGGAAACACTTGTTTGGTTACTGCGCTATTTCCTGGCTAGAGTAGTGTCAGAAAAAGCAGGTACAGCTGGTAAGATATTTGTTCCACTAGTCATTGATAAAGCCAAAATCTGAAGACTAATTTAAAATTATTTCCGCTATCTTCCAACTCTCAGAAATAGGTCTGATTTGGCCTTTTTCTGAAATGGG